CATTGTAGCAGGACAGTCCTGTGACATTTTTTTTTTCTTGTCTCTTGTTTTCATTTATTACCTTTTCTTTTTTAAATAAACATTTACTTAATAGACAGTATGGCAGTACTGGGTATGTCATGACAAGCAGTACATATTTAGAAGACCAGAATGAAAGGCATTCCAAGCATGATCCTACTATTACACATTGCTATCTTCAGTGCAGTTGCTTAGTGCACAGTTATCAGCATATATAGTCAGGGTGAGAATCCTACCAATTAACTGCTACTTTTGAAAACCTGCTGAAGATTCTCAGGATCACTGCCTTACCCATCTTGTACATATAAATGTATGGCTTTGCCCTTGTCATGTTTCCTAGCCCTCCCTTCGTTGTCTAAAAACCAAGTTCTTGCCTTCCTTTTAATTGTGTTACACCTTTCTATTTTTATTTCTTCTTTTGAGTTCTTACATTAGGGTGACTATGATATTTACACACATGGGTCTGGTTTATTTCACTTATGAGTATATCTTCAAGTGGCATCCATTTAAATATGAAGGCTTCCAGTTTATCATTCTTTTTTTTTTTTTTCTTTCAGAATCGGGGATTGAACTCAGTCCCTTGCGCTTGCTAGGGAAGCGCATATTCCACTGAGCCATCTCCCCAGCTGAGTTTATCATTTTTTATAGCTGAATAATACTCCATTGTATAAAAATACCACATATTTTTCATCCATTCCTCAAGTATGGGGCATCTTGTTTCCAAGATTTAGCTATCACAAATTGTGCTGCTATAAACACAGGTACACATATATTACTATGATATGACATTTTCACTTACTCTGGGAAAATTCATGTTCATGGTTTAAGTAAGATCTCCAGTCTTAGTTTTTTAAGGAGTCTCTACACTGATTTCCATCATGGTTGCACCAGTCTACATTCCCACCAGCAGTGGAGAAAGGTTCCTTTTTCCCCATAGCCTCTCCAACATTTGTTGTTGGTTGATTTCTTTATGATAACCATTTT